CAATCTGGGACAGTTCCTCAGATTTGTCACCTAAAAAGAATGTCTCAGATTTGGCAATCTCCCTCACATCCTCAACTGTGAAGACTGATGCAGAGAATTCATTTAGTTTCTTTGCAATGGCCTTATCGTCCTTGAGTGCTCCTTTAGCATCTCGATCGTGCACTGGCCCCACTGGTTGTTTAGCAGGCTTCCTGCATCTGATGTACTTAAAAAAATAAAAATAAAAAATTGCTAGTACTTTTTGAGTCTTTGGCTAGCTGTTCTTCAAATTCTTTTTTGACCTTCCTAATTATATTTTTACACTTAATTTGCCAGAGTTTATGCTCCTTTCTATTTTCCTCACTAGGACTTACTTCCACCTTTTTAAAGGATGCTTTTTTGCCTCTCACTGCTTCTTTTACTTTGTTTAGCCACTGTGGCTCTTTTTTGGTTCTTACTGTGTTATTTAATTTGGGGTATACATTTAAGTTGAATCTCTATTACGGTGTTTTTAAAAAAGTTTCCATGCAGCTTGCAGGGATTTTACTTTTACTGCTGTATCTTTTAATTTCTGTTTAACTAACCTCCTCATTTTTGTGTAGTCCCCCTTTCTGAAATTAAATGCTACAGTGTTGGGCAGCTGTGGTGTTTTCCCTGCCACAGGGATGTTAAATTTAATTATGGTCATTGTTACAAAGTAGTCCAGCTATATTCACCTCTTAGACCTGGTCCTGTGCTCCACGAATGACTAAGGCTGGGTCTACACTACCCGCCTGAATCGGCGGGTAGAAATTGACCTCTCAGGGATCGATTTATCGCGTCCCATTGGGACGCGACAATCGATCCCCGAATCGACGCTCTTACTCCACCAGCGGAGGTGGGAGTAAGCACCGTTGACGGGAAGCCGCAGAGGTCGATTTTGCCGCCGTCCCTACAGCGGGGTAAGTCGGCTGTGATACGTCGAATTCAGGTACGCTATTCGCGTAGCTGAATTTGCGTATCTTAAATCGACCCCCCCCCTGTAGTGTAGATGTAGCCTAAATCAAGAATTGCCTCTCCTCTCGTGGGTTCCAGGACTAGCTGCTCCATGAAGCAGTCATTTAAGGTATCTAGAAACGTTATCTTGGCCTTAATGAATGGCCTTATTGAATTTTCAGACAGATAATAATTTGTGCTGAAATCATTTTTAAGAATACAGCAATATCATCCAAATACACAAATAACACATAATTCTAATGAACTTGCCATATTTTTGGAGAAGATATTTCCAAGTCTTTATAATGTTCAACCAATGATAGCACTATCACCTTTTCCCCACTTATGCAAATCGGTATTTTAGGATATTCTAAGAAACACCATTATCTTTCTTTGTAACAGAGTGTATGTGCTTTTTCATATGTACTTTTAAAAATGTTATAATAGGGATAGTTATTTTTCTGTTTAGTGCTAATACTGTATATAACCTACTTTTGCAGCCAAGGGAGAGTACTCTGTTCAAAGGAAAGTGAAGTTGTTTTGTTATTATCAGCACACATAACATGATGTGTGTCTACTTACAAGACACTGAGCTCTACAGCAATTTCTATTATGCTGGAGGCATAGGCAGTTTTATCTCTGTAAGGGTCTGCAGCATTACAAATGTTTTTTAATTCCCACTAATGCTTACTGACACCTCATACCAATGGATTAAAAATGGAGAAACGTTGTAAATCTCTGCCACCTACTTCATAAGGTATAAAATAGCTCTTGTTTGTGAACAAACTATAATACTGGCTTCTGAACTGCAGAGAAACTTCTAGATGCCTGAATTGGGATGAAAATATCCAAGGAATAACATATTGAATCGACATATTATTTTGTCATACGTATAGCTAATGGCTGTCTCTCCAGATATAAATCTTGTATATTTGCTCTTTTTTATTGTAACTATATCTATTATGTCCATCCAACTTGACAGCTAGTATAAAATGTCTAACTGATGTGTTACATTTAAAATGCCTTTTCAAGATGCTGTGGGACTTACAGTTCATTACTAATTGCTCAATAGGGAAAATGTAGGCTGATAGAAAAAATAGAGTGGGGAGAGATGACATATTGTCGATAATTAATATAAATTGACTTTTTATTATGCAGTTTTTTTCTAAGTAATAAAATACGACTACACTTTTTATTTATTTATTGCTTAAGTTATTGCCCTTTAACCTTGAACAAAAAGTCTGTGGCCCAAATTTTGTACTTTTATATTTGGCCCTAAAGCACAGTTAATTTACACCTGTAATCTATCCTATATTATTTCTGTCAGGAGTAAAAGTAATATTTGTGTTTGTGGGAGAATTAAGAGATTAGTTAGGGCCCATTTTTTGTCAAGGCACATTTCTAGACCAGGATTCCTGAGCCCTAGGCTCTGACCCACATCTCTCTAGTTGCAGGTGACCTGAGAAGGGCCTCTCCATGGATTTGGGGAGGAACCAAGATACCTCTCTGATTCAATGGGCCACATCATTTTAGGTGTGCGTGTTTTGTCTATAGCTAGGGAGAACTTGGTTCCTTGAATGTGTTCAGCAAGGAGAGGAAAATCATAGACTAATTTATAAAGTGTTCACCATTAAAAAGTCAGTATTTGATAACGTTTACCACTGAGTGGTATTTCAGAGGCCAGAATTTTCCTCTATACTTAGCTTAAGAAATTTGTGATAATGGTTGGTAAATGCTAACTTTTCAGTGTTGTCCACTACTGTTCTTTCCTTAGTATCCCATATTGTGTGTGTTTGGATTAGTACTAGTGGTATAAAAGCCACATTCAGGATCAGGCTCTCATTGGGTTAGGTACTATAGAAATACATAGGATGACACTGTTCTTGTCTTGAAAGGCTTGTAGTCTAATTTTAAGGGAAGGTACAACAAGGCTGCCAATATCACAGTTATTATTCAGTTCAGAACCATTGAACAAAAACTGTACTGTTTTTCTCTCTCAAACTGTTCCATATTGTATATCAGAAGTTTTAAAATCCATTATTTTTGTTTTTAAATTAAAACATAAGATAAAAGACAATAGTGATACAAGCAGAAGCAAGTGGGATTAGGGATATGGAACAGCTTCCATATGTGGAGAAAGAGAGAGACTGGGACTGTTCAGCTTGGAAAAGAGATGACTAAGAGGGGATATGATAGAGGTTTATAAAATTTTGACTGGTGTGGAGAAGGTGAATAAGGAAGTGTTTTTAACTTCTTCACATTACACAAGAACTAGGAGTCATCCAATGAAATTAATAGGCAGCAGGTTTAAAACAAACAAAAGGAAGTATTTCTCCACACAATGCATAGTCAACCTGTGGAACTCATTGCCAGGGGATGTTGTGAAGGCCTATAAGGGTAACAGGGTTCAAAAAAGAACTAGATAAGTTCATGGAGGGTAGGTTCATCAATGGCTATTAGCCAGGATGGTCAGGGATGCAACTCCATGTTCTGAGTGTCCTTAGCTTCTGTGTTCCACAAGCTGGGAGTGGACGAAAGGGGGTGATTGCCTGTTCTGTTCATTCCCTTTGAATCACTTGGCATTGATCACTGTCAGAAGACAGGATACTGGGCTGCATGGACCATTGCTCTGACAAGTATGTCTGGTCTTTTGTATCTTGCTTCATGTTTTTCTGTCAGAGTGCTTTCTTGTGATCTTGTGTATATAATTGGTTATAATAGTACTCTTAATATTTAATTAATTAGTAGTAGATAGTTAAGTAGCATTTAGCTTGAAATGCACTCATCAGGTTTTAAACACTGTCATGTGGGATGCGATCCCTAATATTGACCCCACGCTTGATGTTCATTGTGCCTTGGAGAAGGGCACATTAAAGACAAGTGCTCTGTCTGTAAGTCTCTCTAGTTTGTCTTTTGTACGTGAGACCTAGATCCATCTCAGTTAAGAAATGTATCTGGTCTCTCAGTTTCTGAGTGACCCTTCTCTTTACTACTTGTATGTTAAAAAGGTGGCACATCAAACTCCATGGGTTAGAGCACTCTTTACCCATAAAATTAGATGAGAATTGAACAATGAAAAGAATATTACCAGTACATTATTTGTTTAGTTTTTATTTGATTGGTCAGATATGAACAGTCTTCATTGGATAGACTTTTACTTTTCCCATCAGGTACTGAAAACAAAGTAGACAACCAAGATCTTGGAATTAATGACTGTCTGACACTTGTCTTGGGAGATACAATTTTTTTTTTTTATGAAAAAAATAAAAATACTGCTTAACAAGTCTGCAACCAGTTGTTCCCCAGCAAAAAGGCATAAATTAAATATAGGAACTTTCTCCTCAGACTGACAAGAGGTACTTCTGTTTTTTAAAGGGGAATGGAAGAGGAAGTGTTTACAGATGGAAGAGTGAAATAGTGCACAGTATATTTGTCATGTCAAAGGTGGTGATAATGCATTCATTTCTATAGTCTTGTTTTCAAATTGCTGTTGAGCCTTGTATTTATTTTTGTACATTTCAAAATATCATGGAGGTAAGCATGCAGTAGGAAGCCCTATTATTTAAATATTAAATACTATTCCTGCCGGTGTGTATCAAGATTTGTAGCTGGTAATGTTTTATTGATCCTCTGAAAAGGGTAGTACAAGCAGTAATAATAATAATATATTTTACAGTAGTCATGAAAAAGCTGATATTTTCAAGTGTTAACACACCATGGTATGTGTGATACCACAATTACCGCTTATATAAAGTACATAAAAATAACCCAGCATCTCAGGTACATAGCATGCAGTAACTTTTGGAAACAATTGACTTTAAGGATCACTACTGTCTATAGTATAGGCAATACCTCTCAGTTGTTTCACATTGTAGTTTAAAAATTTCTTCCTGTTCTTCTTTACCTCATTCTATGTGCATGAAAGTTCTGCCTGAGTGAGGACTACAGAAGTAGAATGGGTCTCGGGCACATCTCAGCTGGTTTTCAGTGTAAGTTTTGTCTGAGACAAGGTTGCCAATTAAGGCCTATCATATCTTATATTTTAGGCAGTCATGCTCCTAACTGAAGTGATCAGGGAAAACTTCAGGAACAGCAAATTGAAACAATGCCTTTTACCCGCCCTTGGGGAGGTGCTTTTCCTGATAGCTAGTCAGGTAAGTCTGTAAGATAATCTTTGCAAATCTTTTTAATGTTTCAAATCCTTTTCAGATGTAAGGTAAACATCCGATGTGGGTATTCTTAGCATTTGTTACCCTCAAGTGCATGCCTTATTAATGTTTAATATGTTCAAGTGCTGTGACATTAAAAGTACAGGGGATTTGCAAGTCTTGTAAAATCCCACACTGTTGTATCTGCTTTCTCTCGCTCTCTTTCATTACTGCCATTAAGAGAAGGAAATGCCTGAAGCTCATGTTTGAAATAAAATGTAACTTTTAAAGGGACCATGGAATTATTTGGTTGCCATTTTATAACCCCCCTCTACTTTGTGAATCTCCAGGACAGATCATAGAAGTTTTAACCTCTTTGTTTAAATTTCTTACACTCTTTCACTGTAGTTTTTTTTATCATTTTTTCTCAGTTATTCCAGTTTACACTTCTCAATGTAATTCTGTTATTTCTAAAAATGTTCGTTTGTGCTTGCTGAAAGAGGCATTTTAAAACTGAAATGAAGCCTTTAATGCTTCTAATTCATGTGATGGTATTTCCCCCTTGGAAGGAGGCAATCCAGAATGATCGTAGCAGGATTGAAATGTTTTCATGTAACAGTGGGCAGTTCCTGTAGTCTCATTAAACTGTCTTGCTTTTTTTTACTGGGTCACTGGTGCTGTATGCACAGTAGAAAATAGCTCTTAGAAGTTATCCCTACATTTTCAAAGCAGTGGATGGGGATTTACTTTAAAAAAATAAAAAGTCCAAAACCAACCTCATAAATTATTGAAAGCTTTTTCCAACTGTTAAAAGCTTCTTCCACAATCACTGATTTCCCTCCATACTTACAACTCTATTCTCATATGATTCCTTCCACACCCACAAAGAAGGTCATAAAACCAATGGGCCTTTCTGTGTGACCTGAATGTGAGTGAATTTGGACACTGGTTCACTGGTTAACTGATGCAATATTCCCTTGCCTGCATTTCAGTGGTGATATACATGGATCAGTGTTGCCCTGCATCTGGCATGTTAAACAGCAAATAAGTACTTAACTGAAATTTTATTGCACAAAAATCAAGAAATACAAAGTTAAGTATATTATGGTCCTCTGTCTCAATGCACAGGTAAGGTACAGTATAATACAGACAGCAGTGTAGCATTTTGCCTTTGCTGCCCCAGCATTGTTTTTCAAAACTTATCAGGATGGAGACAATCTTTAAGTTTGAATGGGTAGTTCACTTACTTTGTCCTCTGCTGAGACACTCAATATAGGTTCCAATTGTAACAGTGTTTTTTTTTTATGTGAACAGCTGTCCTCTAGGAACTGGACTGAGACTAAGTAATTTCAAATGGCAAATTTTGATGATTACTGACATAGGCTGTATTTGGACCATTGAACTGGCAACAAAAGGAACAATGTTCTGCACCAGCCATTACCTGGAGTAGCATTTTCAAGACAATGGTAGCTTTTGTAGAAAGAGAAATACTATTAATAGTAATAACAGAAGATAGCATTTTTTTCTAAACCCCCACGTGCATTTTTTCTTCTTTTCTAAAGAATAAAAACAGAATTTTAATTATTAAATGTAGATCACTTCAGATTAAAAAGATATTAAAGGATATTGCATGAAAGGATATTGCATGTTATACTTTGTGTCCCTTGAGGCATATGCATTAACTACATTATCTAAACGTTTTGAATATTACTATATTAATTTCATAAGGGCACAAGACCAGAATGAGGATCTAAAGTGAATATGAGCATTGGTTAACTCCAGTTACAATTAGTAATGTCTCTTACACACAAAAGTATTCACATTGTATCCTTCACAGCCCAAATGCATGTTCTCTTATAATTAATATGGTATAGGACTACATTAACGTGAACTAAGTACTTTCAGGAACATATTAGAGGGGCCTACATGGAGCACAATGCATTAGAGCACTCTACAAATCACACCCCTCTAGAGTGCTTTGCTGGCACCGTGTAGACAAGCCCTTATTCCTCCTATGGAATTACAAGGCATCCTCTGCTTGAACTTGATTGGGCTGTAATGTAAGGTTAGAGTTATTTTTCCCTATTCACTTTTGCAGTGGATGGGGAAAGGCAAACGGGTTAAAACCCAGTTTGCCAGTGTCCAGAGATGACTTTCACATCCTTTCACATTTTGTAATATTTCTCAAATGTTGGGGGTTATTTTGAGCATTTAATCTCCGATTTGCTTTTAACAGTAACATGAAGAAAAAATGTAAATTAAGAATATCTCTATATAAATATCTGCAGATATATTAAAAAAAAAAAAGGCAGGGGAGAGAACATCATAGCCCAGGGTTAGATGTCCATGGCTGGCGTTAAATTGAATATCCCCTGTTTACACCATGTAACTTGACAGATCTATCATTTTTGCATGTGTCAGTTCCAAGGGAAATTACACCACACTTTTTAATTGGTAATTAGCTGGCATAGAGCTCAAAGGAAATTAGACATTGATAAAAACTCAGTTTCTCCATTGGTGCCCTTCGTAATCAACTTAAACTTTATTCTCCCTTTGAATGAAACAAGGTTTAAGAAATGATGATGTTGGAATGAAAAAAATGAAGTATTTGATTTTTGATTAGAGTTGTATGTATTTGTGTTCCTCTCAAAGGAAAATGTGTGGAAAGCAATTCATTAATGGCTTTTCTTCAACTACTATATCTTATTAATGGAATGGTGATGTTGAAATATATATTGAATCTCAAAAGTCAGGAGACACAGAAAATTAAGGTTGTTCCTGCAACACTAACCTAATCACTTTGTACATCCATCCTATGCTTTTTAGAGTATGCAGTACATTAAAAGCTTATTCTCTTTAATTTTCCCAGCAAATGTTTTTCTCCTGTAATTACTAGCACCTATATGCTATCAAATGCAGGTTAGTGCCTAAATATGCAATTTGTTTTCATGAAATGTTACAGTTTATTTATATACTAAGAAAATCCAAATGAGCTTCTATTTACATGACAATTTGTAATATGCCACTTTTTTTTTTAAAAAAAAGCAGCAATCTATTTACCACTAATAGCGGAATAATAGACTCATTTTAGTGAATAGAACAAGACTATTCCAGTAGGACAGGTATGTAAGGATTCTGGAATGTTGTTACTTCTATCTACATAAATAGCAGATTTCCAAGTGCTCCATACTGGGTCTTGAATAAGCTACTCTTATAACTTCTGCATATTTTTCAAAAACAAATTTTCTTTAAAAACTTTTTTAAATTGAGGGACAGTAAGCAAATGTATTTCTAGATATGATAGAATTTTTTTTTCTATTTTTAGTACTTTAGAAACCGGTAACGAAATAATCAAAATGATTGCCGATGTTGTAGGACTGGTTTTGAGTGTGAATTACGTTGAGCCAATGAAAAATACAAACCTAAGGACAAATACTCATAGGAATTTTAGATCATGCTTCAACCATATAATAAAAATCAACTTTTGTGTCATAAAAATTCAAAATATCAAATTCAACTTTTGTTCCAGAATTTAATCTATCTTCTAGATTTTATTCAGTTGACATATGTATATTAATCTTTAAAAATCTGTTGGATGTATTTTTCATGGCTGAGATATTATGATTTTTTAATTAAAGGGTTAATATCATTTGTGCTGTTAGCTTCATTGCTGATCCTTCCACTTCATTACAGGAAGAAAAAAAGGAGCACCACAGAGAATGCTGGGTCGTTCCCTTGGCTGCTTACACTGTGCTAATGAGGTGCCTTCGGGAAGGGGTAAGGATCTTTTATTGTCCTCAGTAGAATTTCTCCACTGTAATAACCCTTCAGGCATTGTGAGATGATTGTAGCCTAAAGCACTGCAGTACATCATCAGTGAAGTATTGCTTCTGAATTTAAATAATCGTGATACGACCATGACCTACACAGTAGTAGTAGATTTCAAAAATGAAGTAGTTTTCTCTGTATACTCAACATTTATACATTGTTACTTGATTTTGTTTATAAGATAGTAAATAAAGAATTACTATGATATAAATGTTGAATGTATTCATGTTATGGATTTCTTTTGACTGTTTGGTAAACTAGTACAATTCTTGCTACAATTTATTTTTTGCGCAGATCTTTTTTTCTTCCAGTCTGATAAAAAATTGATATACAAGGCTCTAAACACTCCATCATCTTGTCAGGTCATCAGTGTCCTTTGAGGCCCCAAAGTAGTAAACTTTAAACACTTTTTTTTGCTATATATTATATACCTTATAGTTAATTTCTATTGTGACAACTTTGCTTTGTTAAAAAAGGAAAGAAAAGAACCACATTTATGGTCCCCACTCACAAAATGAAAAAGAACTGAGCAGAATCACATATAAGGTTGGCATTTACTGTTTATTTAAGACCAGTTGCCCAAGGCAAAGCCAAAGGCTGAAAACATTCCTTACTGGGGAGAAAAAAATCAAGATAAGTACCTTTCTTTTGAGATCTTTATTGCTTACAGATTGTACTTAATGGAGGAAATCTCCAGATGCATAGGAAATCTCCAAATTGTCAAGCGACCAAGAACACACAACTGATTTGTGTTTTGGACTCCTTCCAGCCAGTAGTAATGGATACCATGTCACTCTAAGACATGGTTGTTATAAACGATGTAAATGTCATCTTAGCAAAGGGAGACCTCTTACTATCTGTAGATATACATGGCATAGAAACAAAACAGAGGCATTCAAAGGAACACTAATTTATTCCTGTACTGTAAAATAAATTCTAAACCCTGAAATATATTAAATTTCACTGAGAATTTATCTGGATATTATACAATTAGTTTTTTTCAAAAAAATTTCTAATGAATATAGTGCTCATGAAATTTGCTGAATTGACAGTCTGCAAATGAAGGTCTTATCACTGAAGATAAAGCACAGCCACAGATTTGGAAGCTTTTTATGCCACCACAGTGCAAAGATCCTGCTCTGGAGAGGCATTGTGTGTTTGTGTATGATATGCATGTATTTATTCAATAGACCTGAAAGTAAATCAACACTTCTTAGGTATTAGGGGGGCTAATTACCAGGCAGTGAATTGGTCTGTCCAAGCTTAGATTTAAGTTGAACAAGTTCTTCTGGAAGTTTGGTTTCGAATGTTAACCCTTGCATTTATAATTCCATCATTTTGAAGTATGGATTGGTTTGCAGTTCTCGATTTAAGATGCATATTTCCGTAACTCTAATTGGCTAAATCATCTGAAGTAAATCTATTTTGTGATGGCACTGAGATATTTTTAGTACAGGGTTCTGCCATTTGGCATTTCTACAGTGCCAAGGGTCTATATTAAGTGTCTTTCTGTAGTAGCAGTGCATCGAAGAAAACCGGGTATCTTTGTTTACCCATATTTAGATGATTGGCTGCTGAAGGCTCTGTTATGTGAAGATTTGCTAGCTCACATTCAGGTTCTACCTCCCTACTTATGGATTAAGACTATTTCTGAATATCAAAAAGTCCAATTTATGTCTAAGTCAGAGAATCCATTTTATATGAGCTATACTGGACTTGGTAGCAGAGAGAGCTTTCCTTCCAGAGGAAAGATTTGTGGTGATAATGATATTCCAGAGATTCCATGTCGTCAGACCCAGAAAGTAATTTTCTATTTGGGTCTAAGAGGTCTCCTGGCAGTGTCTATTTATGTTACTTCATATGCATTCCTCAGAATGAGGCCCATGCAATGGTGGATGGCTCAAGTTTACAATCCAAAACCGGACATTCTTCACATGCCAGTCACCATGCCTCAGGACACTTTTGATTTTTTTTTTGATGAGGAGGACAAACTGAGCCAATGTTCTGAAAGGCATCCTGTTCAGTTTCCTTTTGCCATTTGCCACAATAATCTCAATGGATGGGGAATTCATCTGGGTTCTCCGATAGTTTGAGGTCACTGGGCATTTCAGGAAAAGAATTTGCAGATAAATGGTTTAGAACTGAGAGGAACTTCACCTGGCTCTCAGATCTTTTCTTTCTCAAATAAGGAGGAAAGTTGTACAGGTAACGATGGATAATATAGTTGGCCCTGTATTACATCTGCAAGCAAGAAGGTGCCTTGTCTCCTCTGCTGTGTGCCAAGGCAGTCAGTCTGTGGGACTGGTGCATTCTACACAATGTTTATCTGTTTAGCAGGGGACAGTAATGTATTGGCAGATGAGCTCAGCAGAGAAATTTCTCAGATGCACAAGTGGCCTCTCAAGGACCAGGTGGTACAAGAGATCTCCAGTTGGGGTTGGCCCATTGTGGATCTGCTTGCAACCAAGTTCAACAAAAAGAGTAGTCTTTTCTGTTAAGTGTGGGAAAGAGCAGTGAGTCCATCTTCAACGCTTTCCGGATGCAGTGGTGAGAGGGCCTCCTGCATGCTTTCCCCCCTTTTTCTATTAATTCAGATGGTGGTGAGGAAGATAAGAGAGGGAAGGCAAGAGTTGGTCCTGATTGCTCCAGCTTGCCAGAGACAGCAATGGTATGCAGACTTGCTTCAGCTGTTGGAGGGAGTTTACAGATTCTTTCTTTTGCCTCCGGACTTGTTTTCTCAGCAGTATGGCAAATTCTTCATCTGGATCCCCAATCTCTCTATGTAACATCCTGGCCTATCGGACTTTGAATAATCTTGAACAACTTGTTTGTCATTAGTCAGAATATATTGCTTAATTCTAGAAAACAATCTGTGATGAAATGTTATTTGAAATGGTTTAGATTTTTTATTTTTTTTAATGAAAAAATCTGGCTCACCATTTACAACTTCTGTTCTCTGTGTTTTGGAATATATAATGTATTTGAAGTGTGAGGGGCTCTTTAATTTGTCTTTAAGATTTCATTTGGTGGCTCTTTCAGCTTATCATGTTTTGATTGATGACAATCACTATTTGTGTATGATACAGTTAAAAGGTTTTTGAAGAAATTATCTAACTTGTATCCCACTATTGAGACATCTGGTTCCGCCATGGGCTATTAATGTGGTCTGATCTAGGCTTATGAAGCCCACAGGTAAATATAAAAAAGCAACCATAACAGAGGGCTAGACGGGGAGGAAATGGAAAATTACAATAGGGTCATATGAGAAATAAAAGGGAAATCAGTGGGGGAATCTGCTCAACATCTTTGATTATAGCGAAATATAAGGATTATGGGGAATAGACAGAAAGAACTGGAAGTATTGCTACATAAGCTAAATTATGATTTAAGTGAAATCGGAGATCTGTTTTGCCAAATTACTTTTCCAACAGATGTCTGAGTAGTTAAAATCCCCCCATTACTGCTAGGTCTTATGTTTTGTATATTTCTATTATTTGTTCTAGATATGCCTCTTCCACCTCCACTTCCTGATTTGATTGTCTATAGTAGACCCCATCATGATGTCAACCCTGATTTTTCCCCTTTTATCTTTACCCAGAAATTTTCAACTGATCGACCTCTCAATTTTCTGGCCCTCAGAACAAGTATATATATACTCGATGTATAATGCAACATGTCCTCCCTTTCCCCACCTCCCGCCCCCGTCCTTCCTAAACAAGCTATTACCCCCTATACTGATATTTCAGTCATGAGATTTATCCCACCAAGTGTTTTTCAGTAAGTTCTTGCAAAATATTGGGGACAACTTTTTATTTCATTAAGTAGAGGACGAAACCAGGGGCACAGCCATTTTAGACCTGATTCTGACTGACAAGATGGAATTGGTTGTGAATCTGTAGGTTGAAGGCAATTTGGGTGAAAATGATCATGAAACAAAAGATTTCATGATTCTAAGGAAAGGAAAGAGTGAGAGCATTAAAGAGATAAACAATAAAGAGAATGGACTTCAAAAAAACAAATTGTAACAAACTCAGAAAACTGGTAGGTACTGTCCCGTGGGAAGAAAATCTAAGGGAAAAAGGAGTTCAGGAGAGCTGGCAATTTATTGAGACAATATTAAGGCACAACTGCAAACTATCCTGATGTGAAGGAAAGATAAGAAGAATAGTAAGAGGCTATTATGGCTCATTCAGGAGTTCCTTAATGACCTGAAAATCAAAAAGGAATTCTACAAAAAATGGAAACATGGACAAATTGCTAAGGAGGAGTAAAAAAAGAATTGCACAAGCATGTAGGCACAGAATCAGAAAGGCTAAGGCACAAAATTAGTTACGCCTAGCAAGGAACACAAGAGAGAATAAGAAGAGGTTTTTTAAATACAGTAGGAGCAAGAAAAAGACTAAGGAAAGCATAGGTTCTCTACTCAGCAGGGAATGAGAGCTAATACCTGATGATATCAAGAAGGCTGAGGTGTTTAATGTCTATTTTGTCTTCACTAAAAGGGTTAATGATAACTGATACTCAACACAGTTAATATTAACAACAAGGTGGAAGGAACAAAAGCCAAAATAGAGAAGGAGCAGGTTGAAGATTATTTAGATAAATTAGATCTATTCAAGTTGGTAGGGCCTGATGAAATTCATCCTAGGAGGCTTAAGGAAGCAGCTGAAGCAATCTTGGAACCATTAGTAATTATGTCTGAGAACTCCTGGAGATGGGTGAGGTCCCAGAGGACTAGAAAAGGGCAAACACAGTACCTATCTTTAAAAAGGGAAGCAAAGATGACCAGGGAAATTATAGACCAGTTAGCCTAACTTTGATACCTGGAAAGATACTAGAACAAATTGATTGCTTAATAATTTGTAGAAGAAAATAGGATTATAAGGGGAAGCCATAGAAGTGATATATCTTGATTTTAGTGTGGTGGCTGACACAGTCCCACATGACAT